GTTCACCAGATCATACAGTCAAATTGATTCAAAGTTTTCTATCTAAGGAAAACCAGTTGATTTCATTGACTCATTGACTCAAATGCAATCTCTCACACTAAGTATGCTTGTAACGACAGTGGAGAGGAAAAACTCCCTTTTAACAGGAAGAAACCTCCAGTAGAACCAGGCTCAGTGTGAGCGGCCATCTGCTGAGGCCGACTGGCGTTCAAGGAGAGCAATATGCGCTGGACTGTGCCATCAACATTTTTAATCATAGATGATAGAGCGGGCCCTTTTTTTTATGTTTAGTCTGTACATTACTATGTGCTCTCTGAGCTCACCTGTTTCTTTCGTAGAAATAGCCACCAGTGGAGCTAGTTTACTGGTCCAGCGGTATAAATATATAGCAGTATAAATAAATATATAGCAGTATAAATATAGCGGTATAAATATATAGCAGTATAAATATGCTGCCTAAGAAACTCAGTCATCCAGGTCGTACTGATTCAACAAAGTTAAAAACCAAACCACTGGACTTTGTTTTCCAAGTTTGAAAATGTTTTGCTTCCCATCCAGGAAGCTTTTTTAATTCAAAATGGATAAGCGTTGAGTTGCAAGTTCCAAACTCAAAGTTCAAATACTTAAATACGTTACTTAACTTATGTAGAAATCTCTGCTATCTATACTTATCTGGAGTAAGTATTTTCTTAGACTTTTTACTTCTAGACTCATTAGTTTTGTTTTATTTAGGCTCATTTTCCTTTTGGCCAGTGGGTATTAAAAAAATTGAAACCATTAAAATTGTTGTTAATCCAGACAATTAATTTCTTTGTGGTTGCACTCTTATGTTTTCACATACAAAAATAAATAGGTTTTCAAGATGATGCAAAGTAAAATTTCACAATGTTACCATTAGTTATAAAACTACGAAAATTAAATATAAGGAAGTTATCATCCAAAGTTGTAGAAAAATCTTTTTTAATAGGGTAGCGCAGTAAAGCATCTGTCATTTTTTTCCTCTATTACTTTTATTTCTATACTTTAAGTAGTTTAAAAATTCGTACTTTTACATTTTTACTTGATTAAAACGCTTAAATTGAAACTTCTATAAAAGTGTTTTAAAACAGCAGGATTTATACTCGAGTAACAAATATAAATATTTTTGACACCTCTGACCATTACCTTTTCTAAAATAGAAAGGATTTATGGATCAGTGCTTCTATTTTCTTTTATGCCTTCTTCTGTCCCTTTAAACCCCCAGTCAGCCTCAAAATGAAAGCCGCTCATACTTAACCTGTTTCTGCTGGAGGTTTCTCCCTTCCTTTTTTTTCCTAACTCTGTTGCATGCATGCTCTGTGTGAGGGATTGCTGTAGAGTCAACCACAAAATGTAAACCAATATCTACTATTGCCACATGGTCATCCAGGAGTTACTTGATGAAATCAGTTGGTTTTTCCTTACATGGAAAATGGTTTTCAACGATCTGACTGCAAGATATGATTCAATTGTCTCTGTAAAATGCCTCGAGATGACATGTATTGAGAATCGTTGCTACATAAATAAACTTAATTTATGCTTAATGAAAACAATAAAACTTTGACCTCTTCATGCTATTTTTGCAACAGCTGAGGAATAATAAAATAGATAGAATTCTGGATATCTGTATGTTTATTGGGGGCAAATTCTACCTAATATGAATAAGACTGCTGGACATAGAGTAAACCGTGATAAAGGATTGATCTGTAGGACTGCCTCATTAACTCTGGAAGAACTGACTGGTCAAAAAGAGGAGAACATTTAGATTAAAGAGATGCTTCTTTCTTGGAGGTTATTGCTTAGCCAACATTGAAACACTAAGCTTTGAAAAATATTATTTCTTGTCCTATAAAAACAGAAGGGAAAAGCGACTACTGAGAAAGATTCCTGATTCATTTTTTTTTGTTTTAGAAGTGACCTGAAAGAAAACATTCAAGAAAAAGAAAGAAAAAAAACACTTAAAAGTGCTGAAAAAGACTCTCACTGGAAAAGTGGAAGAAATTTTCATTAGTCTGCTTCATCAGTTCTCTGCAGCTGTTCAAATGAATCCCTTCACTGGACTTAGAATAGAAAGAGTTTGCATTTTTTTGGGATGCCGCTCTTCCATCTTACTTCTACACTCTATCTTCAATACTTTCCTAACCTCATTAAACTGACTTTTTTCATGTTTCCCAAGATAATCTGAATTATTTAACTCAAACTCAGAAAGCAACCAGCGTCCAAAATCTGCTGCAGTGACAATCCTTAAATTACAAATAATAAGAGTAGCTCAAATGGATAAATAAACCAAAAGAGTAATTTCATGTTTTTAGCTCTCAGCTTTCTTTCTACGAGGATCTGAATTTCCTTGCTATAATTTCAATGGAAATTAAGATTCAACAAGCGCTTTCCAATTACAACAACATAATAAGGTTGTTATAAGAGATTTTCCCCCCTGTTGTTCGGCCTCCCATGAGTGGCTGACCTGTGGCTTTTATTCTATGTGAATCCGCGGTAGAGTTATGGCTGAACAAGTAGCACAGCATCTTAAAAACAATTTCACAACTCAAATTGCCCTGAAATTAGACCTGTGGGCTGCAGATAACATTTTCTACCAAATCAGTTACATGTTGACAGGCATACGTGTAGCACTAAAAGCAACACAGGTACTTTGTTACATATAGAAGCAACCTGCTGATAATGTTTACAATAATTTACAGTACACATCGAGCATAAACCTACACAATGGATATCGTATTTCTGGATAAATGTTCTCATAGGACCTGTATTCATATGGAAGACAGACTATATCACAACACAACCAGAAATATACTCAGTAAATGTCTATTTATAAGCTGCTAAATGCCAGTTTTACCCACAGCTTCCTCAGAGCATTGGACGCATCTGTGGACATGTTGCCTGCACTGTTTATGTACATGGTCTTTCCTGGGAGTATAATTCGACATTTGGGTTTGTTTATATGTCTGCAGGCGTTTGCTCTTTTCAAACTGCTGTATTTATGTGTTTGGGATTTACAAAGGCTGAGGAACTCCTGCACCTGACTAAGTCCCAGTGAGGGGTAGCTGCCATCTGTTGAGCCATTAGCGAACTGCTGGACTCCAAACAGGTAGCCCGTCTGACACCTCTGACTCATCATCATCCCACCAAACAGAAAATTATAAGAAACTGGACAACTGGGCAACGGGGCGCCCTCAGGACACATACATACACACAGAAGGAAGACAGTCAGAAATGCCTGGGGAGCTTTTTAGTGAGGTAAGCAGTTCTTGAGGAAGTGGTAAGTTTAATGAATATATGCTTGTGAGGCACACTGCCTACTTTTCCATTAAAAGCAGAGACATCCATGCATCATGCAACAGCCTTCATCGCCTGACACAATCCCACCTCCAAGGGTGGAATGAATCATTCCTGTTTTGGACCTTCGGGTAAAAATCATTGCAAATTAAGAACTACAGTACCACGGCGCCATGCAAGACACTACCCCCAACATAAAATGGCAAAAAGAGCATTTCAGTGGGTGGGTATATTGGTTGAGATGAAAAAATTAATCATTTAGTCCAGATATTTCACAAAACAGGTACAGGAAGGCTACTGTTGCAAAAATAAAGCTGGACGTTAGTATCCCACCAGCTACGAAATATACATAAGATACAGCTAACACGCCAAAGAGATTGTTCAGCTTAGATGAAACCCAAACTGAACTCTTTAGCCAATACATTTTCTACAACATGTTAACTCAGCAAAGGCACGCGGTGGTGAGGGCATCATGCTGTGATAATTAATTCCAGAATTAAATGTGACTGTAAATGTACAGAGGTAGAAACCTTCCTCATAAGGCTTGCAGCTATTTTAGCAAAAAAACAAAAACAATTTGTATTAAAAGTTTGGCTCAATTTGATCTAAATAGAAACACCTATCACAAAATTATAGGTTTCCACTTATATCACCCAGCTAAGCAATCAGATCTTATTAGAATACACTGAAATTTGGGTCTGTAATGTATTATAATGTAATAAAAGGTCCTGTAGCATTGACATAAATTTTTGTCATCAAAATATCCATATTTTTTAAATGTTACAAAGGTAATAAGGTCTTGTCCTGGATTCCAATAACACTATTGCCCTGTATTTTTGATTATCAAAGTATTTCACTGAGTTCCCTATAAAGGAATAACAGTAATTGTAATTTGTTGGTTTGACATTGTGTTTTTTACTGTCATTACACACATATATCTTCTTATTTGTTTATCATGTTGTTCTACTTCTTTCTGGAAATTTAGTAAGTTTCTAATAATTAATTTCACTGCATTTCAGTTAATTCCTAGAATACATGCTTATGGCTTGGTCTACTGTGGGTCGTTTTTTAATCTTTTCTATTAGGCTACACGTTTTTTAATTCTCTCAATGTCTTTTTTGATTTTTGGATACCGGTAAGTTCTTAAAAAAAAGCATCTCCCTTTGAAGCATTGACTGTTCTCTCCTGTAATGATAATCTGGCCCCAATTACCAAATTCGTCCCTGAAGAAGCTTGTTCACAACTGATTGCGCTGAGGAAATGTAGTTGCGACATGCATCCTATAGAGGGCGGTATTTTAAAGTAGTATCGTCTAAATTGCACAGCACGTGCACATTGTCTTCTCTTTTAAAAGTAGAAATACTCTTTGTATTTAAAGAAATTACTATTAATTAAAATAAAAATGCTGTTTTAGTGTCTTGCTGTTGATATAAATGGTTGGTTGAAGTTCCAGAAATTTTCATTTTGTTCCAGACATGATAATCAGGTTTAAAATGATAGGTTATATATATATATATATATATATATATATACCTAAAACAGGAAAAAATAAAACAAGACAATGTGATTTTGCTAATAAATATATAAATTCGATGGTGTAAGGGTAAGGGGGGGCATGATAAATTGTAGCCCATTGAGAAGGATTGGAGTAGTTGGACCACAGGATGACGCGATGGAGGCTGGGTCTAAAAGGAAAAACACACACCGTACGTGAGGTGCAAGTGAACTGATGAGTGACTTCATGTATCACCGGCGTCCAGACTGAAGCGCACTCAGACAGGCAGAGAGAGAGAGACACTGATCAGTCCCTGATCGAGCTGAGCGGGTCATTTGATGCCGTTTCCTCCTCTCTGGATGCTGACTGCCGGCCGGATGACTTTCCAAGCAGCGCGTCTGTTCAGCCCTTAGAATAAACCATCCCTCCTCCTTGCGTCTGCTTCACTGACGGACAGGTGTTGGCCGGATGCTGCGCTCAAACCCCTGCACAACCCATGAATGAGTCTCCTGCTGTTTCAAGGTGAGTATTCAACATTTTGCCTATTTTTTTTTCAAACCATTGTGCAGAAGCTGAAAGTTGCATGACTTTACACAGCGCTGAAGCTGTGAACTTGTTGTTTTAAAGGATCTCTTTGGACCACCTGTGACGAGAGGCAGGTGATGATCTAAGAAAAAAGATATCATTCACAGAAAATAGGGACAGCAGCTCTTTTTTTCTGGTTAGATGAGAATAAGGAAACCATCAGAGGATACATTTCATTCAGCTGTATTAGACAAAGACTGCAGCAGCCTGCATGTGAAGATTCTTTTTTTCTAAGTGTGTGGATTATTCTGGGTAGCGCAGCAGATCAGTGGTCATCAGGCGAAAAAATAGTGTGAAGTATTAAGCTTGGAGATAGTCAGCCAGGCAGTGAGGCAGTCAGTCAGCTCTCCACTATCTGCTCCTCCTGCAGCCTTGGCAGCAAGGGCAGAGTGCAAGCCACTGGGATGCTGATAAGCTGGGGCAGGAGCTGGGATGATGAAGGCTGAGTCCGAAAGCGCACAGAGCTGTGAGCTGTGCCAGCCTCTACAATGCTGTTGACCAAGTGCATCTTTGTTCAAGCCCCCATATGTGACTGTCCCTGTATGTGTGCGGAGGCAGAGGGAGGATGAGGAGGGGAGGCAGTTGGATTCCCAGCTTTTTTTTCCTTTTGACTCTCACCCCTCATGCAAACCAGATGAACCCCTCTCTTCTGTCTCTGTGCTCTTTCTGGTCTAGCTTATCTGGCCAGCCAGTTGGACCAGCTTTTATTCTCCTGGCCCCTCCAGAATGAGTAAGGGGAGAGAGAGGGAAAGACAGAGGAAGTAAAAAAAAAAAAAAAGATTGGCTCCTTTCTTGGCATCCTTATGCCTGGCATGTGCTTCGGTATTTTATCAGCTGCCTACTAATTTTAGGGTTTAAATGAATCTCCACATTCATTTTATCTTTTCTCTCTCTGTTCTTATGATAACAGTAAATTAAACTAGGGTTAGTTCTCTGATGTCATACTTAGTGGATCAACAAAGCCTCATTTTTACCAAATAAGAAAAGCAATGACTTATTCTGTTCACATATAACAGAGCTGTGAAGTCATTTTCAGAGACTCTTGCTGTGGAAGAATTAACTGCATATTTATAGTCAGAATAGCAAACAAACCTATACAAGATTTATTGTTGTCCAAACAAGCTATATATCCAAGAAAAAAAAAAAAGTAAAATACAAATAGTTGCAAGGAACTATGATATATTTTTTTAGATATATATATATATACTCACCTTTTAAGGTTCTGTGTTAGATCCCCAGTATTGGGTCCTTCTGCATGGAGTTTGCAGGTTCTCCCTATGCATGTGTGGCTTCTCTCAAAGTATTGCATCTTCCTCTCAGAGTAAAAAACACACACACACACACACACACATATATATATATATATATATATATATATATATATATATATATATATATATATATATAGGTGACTCTAGTGTATTGGTGACTCTAGATTGCAGGAGTGGGTGTGTTCATGGTTGTAGTCTTTGTGTCACTCTGGTGGATTGCTGACCAGAGTATACCCCACCTTTTACTTAGCCATAGAATACTTGAAATAGGCACCAGCCCCTTGTGACCCTGGTGCAGCAGCAATAGAAGAAAGATGGATGAATGGATGGAGGTTATGAAAAAACTGGAGTAAGTAGAGTTCATTGTGAAAAGTAATAAAGCCCCTGTCAGCTGTCAAATAGAAGTCTACCGTACCTCTCCAATACTTAACCAAATAGTTTTTTTTGGCTGCATGGTGAAAGGCAAAATCTCCTTGCAGCTAGAAGGTCCTAAAAATCCAAGCTGGGAATTTTCTGTGTGCTTGGAGTTTGCATGTTTTCCCTTTTTCGCCATTCCACCGCTGAGCATGACCAATCACTCTTATTAACAGTGTTGTTTTGAAATTACATTTTTTCCCCCCATTAATTCTTTTTATTAGGGCATATTAAGTCATTTTGTAACCCTGATACATTTTCATAATATTTTCAGTGGTAATATTGAGGTAATAATATCGATGTCTGGAACATGACTATTTCTACTTCAGGGCTAAAATTCAGTTATTAATAAAAACAAAAAAGACAAAGTTTTGTACTCTTCTGAAAGAGAAAACAATAATATAAAAAATAATAATATATCTAAATGAACTTTAAACATATACAGATATGCTTTGGTTATGCATTAACAGGATACAGTACCTTCTTAACTTCAATGCAAAGGTACAGCAAATTTTGATGAAAATAAGGTTTTCAGTTTTACAGCACACATTTCTAAATGGAAATCTGTATAAAACAAATCTATATATAGAGCACATAAAAAGTAATAAACCTTTATATAATATGTCGGTTAATGAGTGAGCAATGTCTAATTATGAAGATATTGCATTAGTTATCACAAGCATCATAGTTTAAGCTAAATTAATTTTTCTCTTTAGACATGGTTTAGAGGTATTTCCAACAAAAAAGAGAATTTTAGGTGTAAGCTGTGATTGAATAATCTGTAAGAACCTCATACAGGACCAATAGTAAATGTCTATGAGAGTCCTGGTAGTACTGTAATAATACTCAGAGATATGTTTCTTGGCTTTATTTTAGTTAAAACTAGAAGAAATGTTCCGACCGGATTTTTCAGTTCCTTAGAGGGACCCAACAAACGTGTGATAAACCAGATTGATATGTGTAGTTCAATATGAATTCTATAATTGAATTCAACAAATGGGGGGGATATTCAGTACGATTCATTAAACTGATTGGGTCTCTGCCTCCCATATGAAGTTATTAGCCAATCATAGCAGCAGTAGCAATTGTGTCATATCTCATTCTTGATTTGTTTCACATCTGGCGGTGTTATCTAATAAATCAAAATCAAATCCAGTCAGGAGGAACATGCAAACATTTTTCCCATCCACAAAGGCACAATAGCGTCCTTTTGCTCGTTTTTCCAAAAAGAAATAGAGGGTATTCCAGCTAAAGCCATCTTTGTTTTGCTTGCTTGCATTCAATTGGTCCAACACATTTCTGTATCAAGGCAAACACTTTTGGCTTTTGTATTTTTTGGAAGTTTGTGAATTCACAAATCAAAAACAGGTAAAACGGTAAAGACCCAACAATTTACAGTAAAAAATTGACGGAGACTATAAAAAGAAAGAAAATGTATTACCATCATATTCTAAAGTTACAATAATTTTAGGGTCATTTGAAGTGAAAATTATATTAACAATCAAGCAAAAGTTCAACTGATTTTTCTTATAGCTTTGCACTATTCTAAACATTAGAATATTCTAAAATAACAAAATGTGGGACAATAAAGGGATTTTCTTTTCCATTATGTTTAGTTTATTAAACATTTTCATAAAACCATTTGAGTATAACAGGAGGTAAGTGTGGATAAACTCCAAGGCAGAGCTTTTAAAGGGGTCATAGAATGCAAAACCAGTCCAGAGAGCTACGAGCCACCATCCTCAGCCGGAGGAGGGGGCCGGGGGCCAGTAACACGGTTGCACTGTAGTCGACCAAAATCCCGGACGATTTTAAAATTCCCCCGGACCTTTTTTTAGTTATGAAAAATAGGACCTGTCCAGGAAAAAGGGGACGTCTGGTCACCCTACCATATCAACTATTTGACGTTTTAGTGAGTGAGTGCTTGTTGCTATGATGAGTCTTTGCTCAGCAGCTTCGCTCGTTGTAAACCAACCAATCAGCGCGCAGCTCATCTAAATACTCATGATCATACCATAAAAGGAAGAAAACCTGTTGTTTCATTCTGGAGCAGCAAATATGCCATTTTCAGCCCAACCAATGTTACACGCCTTATTCAAAGACCTTAAGGACCAGCACCAAATAACCTATAGAATCATTCTATGACCACTTAAATCGCTGCTTTATTTTGTGAAATCAGATAAACATAAAGAAATCAATCAAGATGTCAGGAGCAAAATTGTTGACCTCCATAAGTTTGATATCTTCTTAGCTATGATACTATAATAAGCTATTCAAATTAGTTTCACAAACATGAACAGCATAGGAAACATGAGCCCTTATATCGTTTATTAGGCTGTCTCAGAGATGCACATCTTTGGTGGGAAATATAAAATATAAATCTCCAAATAAAATTAAAGGACTTTATAAAAATGAAAGATGTAGCTGGTAAATAAGTTACATTCTTTTACAGTAACTGTACTGGAAGAAGCCTTCCCAGCAAACAGCAACACAAGTTACATTTTTCTAACATATTCAGGGACAAATACCTTTTTAGAGACATCTCCTGATGTCTCTAACAACACTAAATGAATTGTTTAGCTTTGGCCTGCACGATAAAAAGGATAAGAAAAAATACTGGCGATTCTTGCAAATTCTAAGTATTTGAGTTGCTCTATGTAAAGAAATAATTAAAAAAAGTTTATTCCCTTCTGGTTTTGGTTGATTGCAAGCATAGAACTTAGGGAGTAGTGCATTGGAAATTATAAAAGAAAACAGGAAAATGCTGTGTTGGACTGAGATCTTGGTTGCAGTTTGAGTTTGGTTGAACATACCCACCATCATTTTACTTTCTAAAACTATTTATGCTGCCTTATGCAACAAGTGACACCAAATACATTAGCTTTAGTTACTGTTACCATACAGTAGGTATGGTGTAAATAAACTGTTTTACATTTCGGGCAATATTTTCTCATTAATATGTTTATTGGACACTGTTACACATGGAGGAAATGAGGCATCTTGCCAGTCTTAGAACCCCATCTCAACTGTAAAGTATGTTAGTGGTGGCGTCATGTTGTATGGGTGTTTAGCTGCAAGAGGGGCAGCTGCACTTTACAATATAAATGACATCATGAGGAAGCAGCACCTTAGTTCATCTCAACATCTGCCACATATTTAAAGCTTGGGCAGACATTGATTTCCCAAATGACCTATGACCCTACACATACTGCAATAGATGTTTGATAAGTTTATATTAATCAATCCTAGCCA